AAATGCTGCTTCAAGATGAGTTATGTTATGCCATAATGTGATTTATTTGTTCTAGGCTTAACCTTGTATATCCCTACCATTGTGCATGGTTTATCCTTTAGTTTGATATTTGAAGTCAGCTTTGGACTACAATTCTAGCCAATATTTATGCAGTTCTATTTAGCTCCTTTTGAAATTAGGGAGCACTTAAGCAGATACACCAGCATGAAAACCAGAGGAGTGCTTTATTGTTATTTTTCCATACTATAAAAATATTCATGGCAAAAGAAGATATGTTTTCATCTCTTTCATCATCTTTTTGCTAAGGTGAAAGCAGGTATAGAAAAGTCATGGATTCTGTCATCATGACAGATATATAGGAAAATGTTACTCACAGAAACACATACTCATGGGCAGGATATAGTAGTATATGCACATACACACAAACATGCAAGAAGATAGATGGGTCATGCATATGCTGCTTTGTTTCCATCTATACACAAGCTATATCACTGCTATATTATTTCACCATTATCATTGTTGAAGTAGGTAGAGGCAGGAAGGCTAGCAAGTCAACACTGAGCAGAAGAACTAGTGTCAAAAAAATAGCCACATGAAAAGCTTCCAAGGCAACAGTTGTTGACCTACTAGGCATTGCTAAGCCGGTCCTGTTTGACTGCCAAGCCTGAGATTAAGGTTTCAGTTGTTACTCTTGGCTGAGGATCTAGAAGCAAACAAGGTGAAAAGGCAAACCCTAAATGTTCTTTTTAATTTTCACCTGGCTTACTTCCACCACCAAGTGGGAGCTATGATGATAGCAGCAATACAGAGAAAGATAGGTGGAATGCAAGCTAGATTTCCCAGTTTGTGGCAACTCGTCCTTAACAGCCCAGGGTGAAGACTGATTCTGAGCTAGGAGAGGCAGTAGGGAACATCCAACTGTTAAAGTGTACCTCTTTGTTTATAGCCATTAGAGAAAGAACCCCTTATTCTGCCGACAACCATGTAGGGTTTTCTTTGAACTCTTTTGAGACAGTACACACTGTGTTCACTCATGGCACTAAGCAAGAATGTGGGTTTTTAGACCATGATTTGTGATTAGCATGTTATGCTAACACAACTAACTGTGAATAAGTCAATAAACCATGGTCTACTAAGAATTTGTTTATTTAACGTCTCACTTAAATCTTATACTGCTTCTTTTGCACTGTTGCATTTGCAAGTTATAGATTCATAAAAATTATTGTTTTGATATGAAAATAGCAGGTTCAAACAAATTAACAGTTTTTAAGAGATCTACTTTTACAAGATATTGCACGAGCTCCAAATAAGAAAAAAACACCATACATTTTTGGCCTACCTGAAGATCAGAAGAGACAGAACTGCCTCGATCAGAATCTTTTGGTAAAACAGGACTTGTGCTTTTCTCTTCAGATGATGACATCTCGCATTAAAGTATTTCCTGTAAAAAGTTCCAGAAGGTGAACTTTATTTTCAGTCAATAACTGGGATGTTTGCCTTGTCTCTTCCAAACCAAGCCGGGAAAATGGAATCCAAGATCAAATTGTTTTCTGAACCTGGTTTGCTAGTGATGAATAAGCCATTGTTCTTGATTTATGTGTCAGAGTAAGCAAACCACAGAAAAAAGTTTCTATGGTATGTTTAGCCACTAACACAGCTAGTTGCTGGTACCACAAAAACTGCTAGTTATCGGTAAGCCAGAAATATGGAGAATTCTATTTACCTGTGCTTTCTGGTTCTATCACTGCAAAGAGAATCTTCTAAATCTTAGGAGCAGAATCTGCAGAACCTGAGTAGACAAATGACTAGCTCACTGTTCTTAGGGAAGCCTTACTCAAATGCAAGAATTAGCAGCCTACAAAAACAACAGCCTTCATGGCTGCTCTCTAGTTTAAGCTTTAGCAAGATCAACTATACAGTATTGCTTAAGGTGCATATAAACTAAATGCAAGTATAGAAAATGAGAAAGGGCATCATACAAAACATTTTATATAGCACTTTGAAAAGTATTAAACTCAGAATGCTTACATCAATAACACAACTCTATAAGCTCTGTTTAGCTTTTTTTTTTCAGATGAGGAACTGAAATGGAAAGCTAACCACTGAACTAAGAAAACGATTTTTAAAAATATTTTTATAATATTAGGATGGGGCTTTTTCCTTGTGATCTTTATGAAGTATTATTTCACTATAACATTAGTTTTATGTCACCTGAAATATATGTTAAACAATAAGTTTGATGCTTTTATCTCAAATAAATTTGAATCAGAGTCTTATCTGACAACCATTTTTACTAGGCTAAATGAACTTGCATAACACTTCTCTCAAAAAAGAACAGTTGAGAAGGAGGAAAATCATGTTTGGGTAATCAGTAAGAAAAGACAGGCAACTTTGGGAACCACGTCAACAGGTTAAAACATCAAGACATGCTTCTACAAAGGCATACTGGACATGAATCAATATATTACCAAACAGCATATTTTGTGTCTAACAACAATAGCAGTGTAAGAGGTTCAGTAGTGAGAATTTGGAATTCCTAAGCAAGCAAGGCATCCATAGGTCTAATAATTAAACTCATGCACCTGACAGACTCGTGCATGCACTATGTTTTCTTGCTGTGTTATGTTCGGAGAGTTGCAGAATGGATGAAGTAGATTCCCAGTCTTACTCATCGATAGACAAATGGTGTGCCTATGAATGGTTGGACTACAGCTCCCATCATTTCTTATCTTTGGCTGTGCCAGTTGGTATTAAGAGGAATTGGTGCTCAAAGTCTAGAAAACTATGCCTTCGTCATACTTGCTCTTCGGTCGGCTTACATCTAGTAATAAAAGATGACTTGATGAGGAAATCATCCTTCCCAGCCTGATGCCTCCCAGAAGTGTTGACTTCCAGCCGTAATTGCTGGGAATGGTAGGAGTTGTAGGTCAGCACATTAAGGAAGAGGGCAGTCTGTCAAGAGGACTTAATCTGAACAATTCCACGAGTGAACTGCGCCTGCGAGGAGAAAGAAACTGAAAAAAAGATAACGAGTTTAGGAAGATACCTGCTGAATACAGGAAACTTCAGAGGTGAGAAAAGGATCACTAGCCCTATCTTCTGCACCCCAATTAAGCCCCTTCTCCGTCCTGCGCCTCATTCGGGCTTCCCACTTCCCCAACGTCGCAAACAGACACTTCCTTCTCACCTGAGGAGCAGCCGCCACTCCTCTTTTCCGCAGCAAAAGCCTGGCAGTTTCAAACTAACTGCACGGAAAAAGAGGGCTGCCGTGATTGGTTCCAGTCCTTTTGTTAAAGGCCCGCTGATAGGACAATGCTTTCCAGATGCTTACTTACCAATCGACAAGCCGCAAGGAACTCAAAGGCAGGTCTTCGCCGATGACGGCGGCCAATGAAAAACCACAGAACGCCCCAACTGCAGATTGAGATTTTTAAGGAGTCCCGGACACAGATGCAGGCGTAATAGGATTCGCCCCAACGCCGCGTTGATTGGAGCCCGGGCTCAAGAGGCGGGTAGAGAGGAGGCAGTTGAATCGATGTCACGTGATAACGGCGGAGAAAGGATATACGATACTGTGCCGTAGTAGTGGGGTGGGGATGTAATCTGTCACCGTGTGAGGGTTGTGCGGTGGGCGAACGTTTGGGGTCTTGGGGTGGCCCGGGTGCGTGTTTGATGAGATTACTGTGAAGGATGTAGCTGAAATAATAATAGAGACACTGGCTGTTTATTAGAGGAACCTTTCACGCCGTCCTCTTTCCTGAAGAAAACCTCCAAGCGCCTGCGGAAACAGCACGGCGCAAAAAAGCTGAGCGACGCCTCGGTCTTGCCCTTAAGCAGTTGGTAGCCAGCAACGTAGAGATACAGGGTTCCCGTGTGGTTAGTAAAGACAATTGAAAAAGTTTGTTTTCCGGGAATTTGCCGCGTAATCATTTTCGAAAGTCCTCTAAGCCACAGGGTGCAGGCCGGTAAATTCAGCGCGTTAAACTGGAATAGGCAGTTTGGCGGCAGCGCAGAACAGACTTGCAAGATCCAGAAACTGGGAAGTCGAAATAGCGTCATAGGAGAAGGCAACGCAAGGAAACTATTTATGTGGAATATGTATGAATTTCCTAAGAATCTAACCTGTTTACCTGTATAAAGAAAGTTTAATCTTATTTTTAAATTCATGGATTTCTAATATAATAGAAGCTTTCTGTCCACTGCATTTAGAAAGATTTTTATGCTGCTCTTTCAATGTTTTGTACAATTCAGGGCAGCATATAATAAAATCATTATTTGAAAATGCAATAGAGAAGTAACCAAAGCAGATTCCAGAACATAAGCATATACTTAGTTGCAACTTCAAAACAAAAAGGATGTTCCATAATCCCCAGATACTCAGTGGCTGTGGCCTCTGGCTGCTGTTACTAAAGTCAGATTGATTTGTAACAAGGCTTTCTCATCCATGAGAACTTAATGGGTGAAGTGGCAGACCTAGTGTGTGTAACTGACACAGGGTGAGCCCAGAGAAATGTGCCCATCTGAGTTTTGAGTGTGGCACTAGCCACAAATGGGGGGGGGCATAGTGGTTTTCTAGGAACTCTTAAATCCTTCAGAGGTACTGCACTTCAGATAACTGGATGTGAGATCCTGAGACTGAAGTTGGGTTCTAAGGAGCAGCTGATTTGTTTTGCTGTACCAGCCTCCTTGCAGCATAGCAACATTGGTGCATGAGCTGCTCAACTTTGTTGTCAGGTTGGCAGTGGAATCTCCAAGACTGATAGACCTTGGAGATTTTAACATACCCCCATGTGGCATGATACACCCACTTATTTCATTGGCATGATTCCCAGTTTTCTGTCTTTGTTTTAATTTTTTTCAATAAAAATATATTTAACAAAATCATACAGCTTGATTACCAAATCACATCACAGTTCTATTTAGTTTTAAATCTAAAATGTTAAAATATCAAAGGTGCTTCTTGTTCAGCAGATCATAGCAGGAGGGTTTCAAAAGCCTGTGTGTATAAAAGTAATAAGAGTGAGTAAAACAGAGTGATTAAGTAGTCAGGGGCCAGAAACAAGCTCTCATTGTTAGAAAGGATTTCAAGACAAGTGGATTAATGTGATGTATTGTTCTGTATTTCTACAGTCTCTTTACTCTGTAATAGATGCTGATTCTTACAGCCTTGTGAAAAGAGGAAAAGACCATGGCAGTTTCATCCATGGGTACATAAGTTCTGTCTGAAATATTTCTTTCATTTCAAACGAAGAAAGGCCAACACCATTGCTGAAACTAAGTGCAGTTTTTTCTTCATGAAGTTACTACAAAAATATTCCTTGTAAGCAAGTTCAGAATCTGCAATCACATTTCAAGCTTCTATTACCAAACTGTACTATCCTTAAGAGATACCAACATCACAACAAAATTTAGATTACAACTACAATATACTCAGAAACTATATAACATATATGTGTATGTATGTATCTCTCTCTCAAGGGTAAACCCAGGGTAATCCAAGCAAATCACAGAAATCTTGGAAGAAAAAAGATCAGATATCTCAAAATGCTGCTTCAAGATGAGTTATGTTATGCCATAATGTGATTTATTTGTTCTAGGCTTAACCTTGTATATCCCTACCATTGTGCATGGTTTATCCTTTAGTTTGATATTTGAAGTCAGCTTTGGACTACAATTCTAGCCAATATTTATGCAGTTCTATTTAGCTCCTTTTGAAATTAGGGAGCACTTAAGCAGATTTCCTAACATACTCCCATGTGGCATAGAAGACTTTGTTGGCCTTCTGGAAGGGCCTGAAACATGGCTTTGCCATCTGGCCTGAGGATCTGGTAGCAGTGGTGTGGAGCCTGCAAAGTGACTGTATTGTTAGTGAAATTGATTGCACACTCCTGCAGGTTGTTTTCTATGGTTTTAACAGGTTATTTTTAATTTTTAAATTTTTTAGTTACATGTTTGGTTATTATTTGTATTTTTGTGTGTACTTAAGATGTGAGATGAGCAGCTATATAAATTGAATAAACGGAGTCTGGAGTAGCTCAGGAATTCATGACAACCATGAAATAACCCCAGGTCATCAAGGGCCTGACATAGGTCTGGTTTTTGTCTTGGTGCAGTTATGGCATGATCTGAAGGTGATCAGATCACTCTTACTGCTTTTTTGCGTATTGGTGCTGTTCCCCCCACCCTGGCCAAGGGAGGTTGAGTCTGTTAGATCAGTCTAACAGGTGGCTAATGGATTTCAGAGGGTTTTTTCCCCCTGAGGATCTGGTGGGCAAGTTGACTGAGGCCTTAATCTCTACCTGGAATGGGTGTGTGACAAAGGCAGGGCTTGGACCAGATTGCTCCTATGTAGACTCTTTCTGTTCTTCTATCCCAAAGGGCTCCTTGATTTTCCAAAATGCTGTGAGCAGTGAAACACAGAAGAGATGCCTAGAGCACTGTTGGAGAAAAATGAAGAGAATATTTTACCAAGCACATGTAAGAGCCCACATTGTGGATTACATCATGGCGATAAGAGCTGTAAAACGAACTGTCTTTCCACTCTTGTCTTGTTCTTAGCTGGCAGTGGCCCTATTCAAAGTGACCCATTCCTTAGAGGAAAGGGAGGGGCCACAAGAACATTTACAAAGCCATTGTGAGGAATATTCTGTGCACCTGACTAATAAAGTTGTTCAGATCCATTCTGAGTTAGATTTTGACTGGCTAGGTTCAATCAAATTGACTGAGGTTTGATTTTGTCCTGTTATCTGAGAAATGTTTGATCCTATGATTTCTGTGGAAGTGGGCAGGGCTCTCAGGACTGTTAACCCAGCCTCCTGTTTATTAATCCATGTTTCTCCTGGTTGGTTAAGTTCTCCTGGGAAGTGATATGTGATTGGGTCCATCAAATGGGGAATTCATCCTTGATTGGGGAAATGGTCCCATCTGCCTTGAAGGAGATGGTGGTATTTTCCCCTACTCGAGAAGCTATTGCTAGTCCAAATGGTTCTGGACAATTTGTACCCAGTCTCCAATCTCCCCTTTTTGGGAAAGGTAGTTGAAAAAATGATCAGTTTGCAGCATCAGAGAGTCCTGGAAGAAGCAGATTACACTCAAAAAGCAGGTGGCAGCTGTGGCAAGAAAAGTCTTTGAACAGATCCACCTGGTACACTAGTTATGCCCTTTTCTGTTCCGGGAGTCCCTTTTCATGGTGAGTCACAACTTAGTCACTTCACATATGGACTATTGCAATGAACTCTACAACGGCTGCCCTTAAAGATGACTCAGAAACTGCGGCTTGGTACACTCATGTAATGCCCCTGCTTGCAAACTGTCTGTTGCTTCTGGTGCAATTCAGGATGCTGGTTATCACCTATAAAGCCCTTCCTGGCATAAGGCCTGGTTATTTGAAGGACTGCCTTTCTCCCAATGTTTTTGCTCATCCCATGAGATCTGATGCAGCAGGTTCATTTTGCTTCCAAACTCTTAAGCAATGCCATCTGATGGACCTTAGGAAGTGGGCTTTCTCTGTTGTGTTTCCTGTCTTCTGGAATAGAATCTCCCCCAGAGCTTTGAACAGGTACAATCCTGCTATCCTTTAAATGGCCTTGAGGACCTGGCCTTTTCCTCAGACCCAAGGATAGGGTGGTGTGTGTTCATCTAGATTGATCTATGTCAGGTTTATTTGTATGCCTGTTCCCGTTATGATCATATTTTTCTGGTTTTATGTACCATGGTTTTATTTTAACATATGAGTCACCCAGTTTCTCTATTGAGTTAAGTGACCTTAGAAATTTATATTATAACTACGTAAATTATAAATAATAGTTGTATCATGAATGTTATACCTGGAAGGCTAGAACTATTGTATCAGTCTGTGTCTATGATTATTCCTGAATAAAGAAAATAAAATCTTTGATCTGTAATGCTGGAGAAAATTCTGGAGAATACTTGGATAGCATAAATAATAAATTATTCCATTCTAGATAAAGTGAAAGCAGACTGCTTGCTGGAAACACTAATAATGAGGCTAATGCTGAAATGTTTAGACATACAATGTGGAAGCAAGTGTCTTTGGAGAAGATCCTGATATGTGGAAAATCAAAGGTAACTGAAAAACAGGCCAACAGAAACTTAGCTGGCTAAATATTACTGATAATACTGCATCAACCCAAAAGAACTAAAAAAAAAAAGAAAAAAAAGATCCTGACTGATAATCCCGGAAAACTAGTTTTTTGGGTCATGAACAATGAAGAGTGACTGAACAGTAATAATATATTAATGTTAAATATTAATAAGATATCTGCACCCTGGAGCATTGTCTGGTAAATAACTCTTTACTGGGCATTAGCTGTTGGGTGGCTTGGTTTGAGCACAGGATAGCCAATCTTCAGGATGGGGACTTATACATTAAAGCAACCTCTCTTGTTTTACTGTATGGGCCCCAGGGCTCACAAGCCCAACACCTGATATGCAAGATGGGGGACATCATCCCAATAAAGTAGGGGAGGTTGCTTTACTATTGAGCTTCCTACCTCATGGATCAATTATTTTGAGGGTTGGTTCTGAGTGTGATTTTAGTTTTCTTTTAAAAGAATGCTAAATTTGTACCAAACAAGTTCACTGAACAGCTGATAGATTGAGAAATTGATCTATTAAAGTTTCCCACATTAATATAAAATATTATAGTATAAAATAATTTCTTTTAACCAATAGAGTTATTTTGTAGTATAGTTACCAAAATTTTCAGGTGATCATCCAAATTGCTCATCTCAAGATCTCTTAATGGCAGTGAGAGCATGAAGAATACACTTGTATTTTGCCTCAAGTGTATGGTTTTTCACTACAAGCAAAGGAGAAGAATCCTAAAGTGCACATTACCACCATTTCTTTGATTAAAGCTGAGGTTTCTACTGGCATATATTATTCAAAATTATTGGTGAGGAATTAAATATTTTATTTTGCCATTCTTGCTTGCAGCAGTGTATGTACCATTTTAAAGATGAGTTCTACCATACAGCTTATAGAATAGCTAGAAGAGGGATCCTTATACATGACTACCAGGGAAGCAGAACTGAGCAGTCTCCAATAGCAAATGCAAGTATAGAGTAAACAGAGGCAATTTGAGGAATAAGAAGTGGAAAAACTAAAAATTGAATTTCAAAGAATGTAACTGCTGCCCTATATAAATATTTCTAATATGCTCCACTCTTCAGAAAGATCTAAAATAGAGCTGGCTTAAAAATTTCCTAGGGGGAAAAAGCCTTTCCATCCAACCTCTCAAGTTTACCTGGTGGCAGCATCAGGCACTTCTATGCTGCTGTTTTAATTTCCCACCATGCTTGGTTGTAGTTTCATCATCTTAATGTCTTACGCTGTCCCAGAATATGGTGGGAATTTATAATAGCTGCACCTCTAACTGAAGCAACCATCATGATGCTCAGCTGTGTCTTTGGACTAATCACTATATTTCAGACTAATGTACTTCCTGCAAAACCACCTTTTCCTTTGATAGATTTCCTATGAGAATATGAACTAATCCTTACTCTCAGCTTCTTATCAGCAAAGCAAGTACAAGCTGTTTTGTTTGGGTGTATGCATGGATATGTGAAAAACCGGTAGGGCATTATGGCAGATGGCAGACTCATCACACCCACCTTTGCAATAAACCTTTACTTAAGAAACAATGGCTTTGTGCAGCATGTGATCCAAGTCTGAAACTTAACAGTAAAGCAGCTTGCTTATTTGAAAAATAAAAGCAACTGTAGTTGATGTTGCCAGAAATGTATATAAATATACCAAATAATAGAGTAATTGATTGCTGCTTATTGTCACTTAAATCTTAAATTGCAATTTCCACTTTTCCCCAGTTCATGAAAGCTTGATATGAAATTAAAAGTCAAAAGAAATTTGTTTCCTCTATACTGCCAGGCAGCTCCTGAATAAACTGGACAACCTGTATTTTTCTTTTTCTCCAGAAATTTACATCACTTCTACAGCAGGTGGCAACACATCATAATGTGAGGCACCAGCAAATTGACAGATTATCACTCTAGCAACTAAAGTGATTGGAATGTATAACAAACCTTGAGGAGAAGCAGGTGTGAACTGAGGGTTACTAAAGCAGAGATGATGATAATTTTGTGCCACTGTCAAATAGGTTTTGTTGTTATAATAAATGTAAATGTAAAGTTCCAGAAGATAATAAACAGCAGGGGCAAATGGATAGCAATAAAGGATACCCAACCATATATAAAGCCAGTGAGACCACACAGTTAAAATCTATAAACCACCTCTCCTTTTTTGAGAAGGTTGTGGACAAATAAGTACGTTATAGTATATTTTTTCCTTCTTTCTTCCCTCTAATATGGATATGTTGTATATTGAATGTTTTAATGTACAGAAATATTATTTGCTTCCAAATGTGTAGGAATTAATGCATTGACATGCTTGTAATAGAAATAGATTCTTAATAAAATAGTGAGGGATTCTCAAATGCCAAAATCTTCAAGAAGGAGAGTAAGGGTGTAGACTGCAAACCAGGAGAACTGGGAGAAACTGTAGATTTGAATTTTTCTGCCTCATTCTTCCATTGGTTCTGTCATCTTCTGCCCATCTGCAGATACCAGAGGATAGCAAGCCATCTACTAAAGTTAAGCTGTTGTTTTGCACAGGTTAATAACTTGTAAAGGAAAATATAGCATCTTCTGATTACAATCTAGTAACCTGTACAATAATTCAAACTTCTGTAAAAGTTGAAAATTGTTCCAATAATCAAATATACTTTTATACAGAACATTTTTAGTCTGAAATCTGCAACTATAATATAGGCATAATTCATCAGTGCAAATCCTCTCCCATCACTCTAGCATATCATGAAAAATTACATACAGGTAATCCTCAGGTTATGGCTGCTCATTCAGCAACCGTTGAAAGTTATGAGGGTGCTGAACAAGAGGTATTTATAACCAGTCCTTGAAGTTGTGGCCATTGCAGCATCCCCACAGCCATGTGATCACGATTTGGGCACTTGGCAGCTGGTTTGCATTTATGAAGGTTGCAGTTTCCCATGATCACATGATCGCCATTTGTGACCTTCCCTACCAGCTTCCCACAAGCAAAGTCAGTGGAGACGCCGGCAGGAGGTTGCAAGTTGTTCCCACTCCTATTGCTTTTTCTTTCAAGGAGCCCTCAGATGGGCAGGCAGCCACTTACCCAGCTGCACTTGCATTGGGCTGTGACACCCATCCATACACCAGGCCATAGCACCCCCCCACCTGCAGCGCCCACCCTTCTGCCCGCCCACACACTAGCACTCACCTGCCTGGTGGCCTGCTTGTGAGTTGCCTAAGAAAAGGCTTGTGATCAAGACTTGCAACTTCCTGCCAGCTTTTGCAATGCTTAGCAATGGAAATTCCGGTACCAATTACCATCCTTAAGCAAAGACTACTTGTATCCAGTAGCACAGTCTTACATAGTTAATTTAACAATAAGCATCATTGATTGTGCCAAGCTTTTTTTCCCAAGTAAGCATCCATTTGAGAGCAGCACAAATCTAAGAAATTGCTATAAGAAAGCAAACTACTTTATGGCACCTTTTTGTCCTCTATATGGAAAATTAAACACTTCCTAAAGCAAAATATTTGCACTAAAATATGCATTGTGAAGTTTCACATTAAAACAGGCAGCTTGCCGGGATGTTCGTTCAGTGTAGCTTTCTCCAGTCTTGTTCCTCCAGATAGAGGAACTTCCATTATTTCCAGCAAACATGGCCAGTATTTCTGGAGGACACCAACTTATCTCCAGGTCAGTGCACCATTTCAGAAATAGTTCTGCACCTACTGGCACTTTGCAGCTGAACTCATTTATTTTTAGTTCAGTATGCCTAGAATAGCAGAAAAAGTGATGTTTCCATTTGGAACATTGAAGCTCTGCAGAGTCTTGGGAGGGCCATTTTCCTCTAGATGGGAATTTGCCTCGCTCTGCCTCCTGCCTCTTGAGTTCAGGCAGATTTCTCCCACTTTCTCTCAAGGTTCGGTGGCAGTGGTATCACCCTACAATGCCATAATTGCAACAGAGGGAAAGTGCCTTAGTGGCTTTGTATCTCCTCATAATCACTGACCCTTTGGGATAGGGGTTTATATAAATTGGCTGCCTAAATTTCAATGGCCAGAAAATACAGAGCATAAAGGGCTTATTTTTGGTGGGGATGGCATATTAGAAACCTTAGGGAACATTAGAGAACGTATTAGGGAACATTAGGTCTGGCAGAAAAGGTATGCTGTGGGTCCCATCTGTGAAGGAGTTACATCTGGTGGGACCCTTTTCTGCCATGGCACCTGGCCTGTGGAACATCATTCCCCACAACGTGAGACTGGCCCCATCCTTGACATCCTTCCGGCAGTCCCTTAAAATATGGTGGTGTCAACAGGCTTGGGGATCTCAAGGAAGTGATGATTTAGTGAGATGGCTGTATTGCCTATAACAATAACTCTGCTACTTTGTCATTAGTAATCCTGATTGGTGTTCTTAATTGTAGAATTTTTTTTAATTGTTAGCTTTTTATGATTTGTTTTTTATTCTGTGCTGCCCAGAGTCACACTCTGAGATAGACAGCTACATAAATAGGATATCCTCCCTGTATTAAGGCAAATGCATACTAGAAAAACTACTGTGATTCCTGGCTCTGTCTCCAGCATTGTGCACTCTGGAGGCCCGTGTACATTCATACATGACCCGAGGCACTGTCTTTTTAATTATGGATTTTCTTTGTTCTCACTTGGGCTTAAAAACCTGGAACTAGTGCCTCGGTTCACACAGCTTGCTAAATCTAAAACCTAGGTTATCAA